GTATGAATAAATAAAAATTTAAATAGCTTAAGTAGTGAGATTTCGATTGAAGGATTTTTTTTTTTGAAAATGAAATAAGTAAGTAATAGTTTTGAAAATAGAATGTTTGTATAGCTATATAGAAATATTATAAAAGAAATAATATTTGCAACTTATTTTTGTTGAGTCTCTCAATGTTTTATCGAATTTCTAACTTTAGTTTAAAATTTTTCGCTAGACATAACCAGAGAAAAATTTTGTTCATATAAAACATTGATACTTTTGATTAGCATTTCTAGATTAAACCAACAAAAAATTTTTAAAAATTGTCAAAATAATTGAATATAATTATTTCTTTAAAATCTCAGTATCATTACTAATAATTTATTTAAACTTTAATCTATTTTTTTAGGCTCAGGATATGGATGATGTTCGTTCTGTACTTAGTGTTTGTCTTTTATTTACTCCAATTCCAATCTTTTATGCTTTATTTGATCAATCAGGTTCACGTTGGACATATCAAGCATCGATAATGAACGGAAATCTTGTATGTATATTTTTCACAAAAGAACTATTATTAATTATTAAGCAATAAAAAACATGTTTTTTTTTCGAATAATTAGGGACCATTTGGCACAATTCAACCTGATCAAATGCAAGCATTAAATAGTTTATTCGTGCTTCTATTCATTCCACTTTTTGAAGAAGTTATTTATCCAGCATGTGCTCGTTGTAATTTTTTAATAAGGTAAAATAATTTGTTAAGAAAACAGCAATAAAACATTTTAAGAACCAAAAAAAAATATTTTAGACCTTTACAACGAATGTTTCTTGGAATGATTATTATGATCTTTGCTTTTATTGCTGCAGGCATTATCCAAATAGCAATTCAAGTATAAAAACAGCCTTTTTTTGTTTTCTATCAATTTATTCTCTATATATGTTCACTTTAGTCAAAAGCAAATGCAATTCCAGTTCGTTTTCATACAAAAATATTTAATAATTATGATTGTACATTAAATATCAATTCCAATTACACACTCGAACCGAAAAAAGCAAGTTCCATTGTTCTTTTTTTTTTTATTTCATTTAAACAACAACAAAATTTGATTATTCTTATCTATATAGAGTTTGATATTTCCATGTACACAATTACTTGAAAAACGCTTATTAGTAAGTTCAACATGTAATCAAGATAGTATTGGCTATAAGTTATCCGCTAATGAACTTTGTCCATCAGTTGTAATTGTATCAAAAGTTAATGATGAAGCACGTGAAAAAATAATGGAAATACTACCAGTAAAAAATGAAATATAATTATCACTTTTTTTTTTCAAATTGCGTTTTTTTTAGTTAGGAAATTCCATAAAACAACAACGTGGTGTTAAAGAATTTGCCCTATTACGGTAGATGAATTAAAATTAAGTTTGTATTGTTTTCTTGCAATTTTCTTTTTGTTTAAGTATGGTTTCATTGGATGGTAAACAAACAATTGTAACAACATTACCAAATGAATATAAATATGATATTAAAACAAAATTACTTCCAACAGATTATAAATCTGTTCTTTCAACAAAGTTGTTTTGTTTTTTTCTTTTCTTGAATTTTCAAAACATTTTTTTGTTCTTATTGATAGATATCATATTATAAATGAGGCTAATGAACAAACATCAGTGGAAATAATTAAAGTTTCGACAACAGCTGTGTATACAGCACTTATTTATAATACAAATGATGATAAGGTTAGTTGAATTAAATTAAAAAGTAATATACTATATTAATAATCGATTCTATAATTTAAAGCATCGATAGATTTAACTATTTGAGTAAAGATGTATGAAATTAAATTTTTTTGATTATATGTCTATTTTTGTTTATCGAAAAAATTAATTTTTAAAGATGTCTACCTTCTTGTTATTTGATTCCAATAGTTCGTTTCTATTTTAATTGAAATAATATACGATGGATTTTTATTTCTGATGCTTTTTAATTAAAGTCACCATAATCGTTTAGCTTCGTAGAAAAAGAATGTCAAAAGAGTTTTCTTTGACATTATTTAAATAATTTTATAGGTCTGTAGTAGAAGATTATATTTCAGTGTAAGATATAGAGAGTATTCGAAAAGTCGTTGAACAAAAAGAAAATTGTATATTTCCATTATGGTTCTATTAGATGAACTGGTTTTTGTAATGGTCGTCGAGGATATTTCAAAGATTTTATTCATTAATATAAAATTCTTCTGTAAAGTAGCATTTTCAAGTTGAACACAAAATAAAGTTCTTTTCAAGTTGCAAAAAATAATATGCAGGATTTTTTCTTGATTTTCTTCAATATTGTTTTATTATTGTGAGCTTTCAGTCATTTCGACCTATTTTCTCTTGCTTTAAAAATATCTGTTGAACATATCTGAAAATTTAGAATGATTGGTATATTTCCTTAAAACGATTTGTTCGACTTGTCAAAGACTTTGATGAACGGTAAACTAAGTGAATGGATCCGGTTTTAGCATTTTTATGGACACTTGACTTAAGATCAATGTGTCCAGTTGGTGAAAAATGTCCAACAAGTGTTTATGAAGCAAGAGAAATAGGTCGAGGGTGACTAAAAGCTCACAATAATGGAACAAAATTCAAGAAAAAATCCTATATGTTGTTTTTTGCAACTTGGAAAGGACTTTATTATGTATTCAACCTGAAAATGCTACTTTTGGAGGAGAATTTGAGAATTTTATATGAATGAATAAAAACTTTGAAATGTTCTCTACGATCAATACCCAAGCCAGCTCATCTAGCAGAACCATAGTCTCAATAAACTTTGTATTTTTACTTGTACAAATTCAATTAAAATGTTTAGATATTAATTATGAAAAGATCTTTCAAATTTAGATTAGTAAAAGTACTGATTTCCGTATGAAAAAATTATTTTGTTCGAACGAGAAAATTTGTAGGAGAAAAACAATGGTACGAACTTGGTGTACATAGTTTCATGTTGCAAATATTTTTGATTATTGAATATTATATCACTCATAATTACTTGTATGATGATGTTCTGATGTCAGGAACGAGACAGATAAGTTAAGATTCATTATGTATAATCTCACTGCTTTATCATAGTTCAGTATAATTATATGTCATATTATTTTCTATTTTGTTGAGTTATGAACTCATTTGTTGGGTATCGATTTATATAATCTTCATGAAGTCTGTCAAATTTTAGTGTCATATGTTTTAAGATGACAACAGACTTTTGATAATCTTCTAATTTTATCTTATTCGTTCACTAGATGGTTATGTTTTTATTTACTATGATTTCAGAAACTTAAGAAAAAAGAAACAACTCAATTAAAATAGAGAATGTTTTACATAACACACTGATATAAATGACATTCTCTACTAGAATAAAGAGTACTCTTTTAAATGTATTGATACTTACAAAATATTTTACAATTAAGATGAAATAGAATTTCTAAACTATTGATCAAAATTTCATTGGTTTCTATATATGATTATCATCAGAGTGCAACAATTAGATTTCGATTAAAGACAGATATGAAATTAGAAGTGTGAAAGAGTATTGAATATTAAAACTAAGTACGATTAAGTAAATGCTTGTCTCATATAAATAAATGGGTTTTATGAACCGATTTATATATAAACAGAAAAAAGTTATTAAAAGAATTTCCTATATTCTTTTGGCATATGTCAATGTTTTTTTTTTATTTCATGATATATCAAGTTTTAATCGTCAATAAGTAAAAAACAATAGGTAAATCAGCATCGAGAAATAATACTAATAGTAAAAACGAAGTATTCATTAACTCATTGTGAAATTATGTTATACATGTTGTTATTTTCATGAAAAAACCAAATGTATAATTAATTGCTAACTACAATTGTAATAAATAATTCCTTGATGGAATAGTTCGGACATACATCGAGAAAATTCTATTAATTACAATTTCTTACATATCACAATAAATATAGAAACAAACAATATATTAAATAATATGTAATAAATAAATTCATCATTAATGGATGTTCTAATAGATACAGAGTTCAGAATGATAAAAATAAATTCATAATTTTGTTCTTTTAGTTACATGTTACTCTTATTGAAGATGTACCACCATTTACAGTACATATTTTATGGCAAATAATTCAATATGTTTTAATGACTGTTTCAGAAATGCTTGTTAGTATAACAGGTCTTATATTTGCTTATTCTCAAGCACCAAAACGTTATAAATCAGTAATTATGTCAGCATGGTTATTAACAACAGCTGTTGGTGATCTTATCGTAGTTCTAGTTGCTGAAGTTCGATTAGTTAAAGATCAAGTACGAAGAAACTTTCAATTGAAAGATGAAAAAGAAAACAGAAAAGCTCGAAAAAATTTTTTTTTTCTTTTAGGCAGGTGAATTTTTTCTATTTGCTGGTTTAATGGCTTGTGCAGCACTTGTTTTTGGTGCACTTGGTTTACGTTATAAAGAAATCAAACCTACTAATGATGATTCCGAAGATCAACAATTAATTATTGACAAAACAGCTCCTGAACCTGAAGAAATTATTCCATTATCAAATTAAATATAATTTTATGTTTTATTTAATCAAAGTGCAATGAATCTCATCTATTATTATTATTATTATTAAAAGTGTTGTCTTGTATATCTATATGTACATTAGATTTTTCGTTTGCTAATAATCAAACAAAACGAATTGATCTGATAAAACGAAAACTCTTTACTTCATTAACATTTTATTTTTGTTGTCGTATAATAAACTAATATTTTAATAAATCAAAATATTAATCAAAATGAAAAAAATTTCTTTTTATTTTTGGAGCACGAAAAAAAAAGAGGATTGATTGATGATTATTAGGCCAAATAGAAAAATTCTTTTCGTTTTTTATTCATTATTTTCTTCAGCTTTTCTTTCATACATGTTCGATCTGTTTTTTTTAATGATGTTTTATACAGAAACGAGAATATAACAATAAGATATATTTTAATTGAAGTTTTGTTTGTTATTTGTAAGAAATCGATCGAATTGAACGACGACCGACACGTGGCAACATAATAATACGTTTGGCCAATTGACCACTGTCAGGATTATATTGTTTATTTTGGTTAAATAAATTTGTTTGTTGATGATCATCATATAAATGTTGCAGAATATTGAATTTATGACGAGTATTATTAGTAAGTTGACCAAGAGCAGCAAGATAATTCTTGAAAAATAAACTATCAAGCTTTGTTTGATCTTCGTCATCATCATCATCAAGTAGTGGTTGCGTGCTGCTGATTCGAACAAACGTGCATAAAAGCACAAAAAATATAATCACTACAAAAGTAGACAAGATTGTCACATGATATACATGACTATGGCTTTCTTTAAAGATGATAGTCGGAAGTATCTTTGTAATATGCATCTTTAACATTACAGATTGCATGTATGCTATTATTCTGAGTAAATACATTTCATGTCTAGTAGACAATTTTACTATTAACTAGAGTACTTGTTTAGGACAAGTCTTGTTGAACGAGAGTTATTTGATAGATAAATAGTTTCATATAGTAACTCTTTTATTTTTAGTTATACATATCTCTAACGTTTTTAGTTTCATCATGTTTTTAGAAAATAAAATTAGGAATCAAAAAAAACAATATTTTTCTTAAAGAATGTAATATTGAATAACTTACATTTCATGAGCCAAAATGTTGATAGAGCCATCATTGAATGATAGAATAAGGTGTTTGATTCGAAAGAATATTATTAACAAGAAGAGGATGAATCTCGAGACTAACAAGTATGTATGTGCGTTTGTATGTGAGACCCTGGAAAGTGAAAGTAGTTGAGAAATAGAATCAGATAACAAAATAAGAGAAATAATTTTTTATAGATGAATGTGTATGAAAAAACTTAGATTATGACGGACGTTCGCTCGACAGGTGTTTCAGAGATAGAGAACTAAATGGATTGTATAAGTTTTCTGAATGATTATCTCTTTTCTTATTTGCTTTTCATTACTCTATCTTTTTTTCTATCTATATTTCTTTCGAGAAACTAGAAAAGAAGAAAAAAGAGAAAGCAATACTTAACACAAAAGTCTTACTTCTCTTTTTGTTGGATATAACAAAAAAAAACAGCTCCTATTCCCAATGGATAACTACTTCACAAAAAGAGAAAATAAAAGAGAACTGATGCACTACTCTTTTCTGCTATATCTGCATCCGGGACGTACCAATCAATATCCGGTAGATACCTTTTCCCTATTTATTACCAACATAAATACGTCATAAATCTCAAGAGATATATTAGTGTGACATGTTGTATCTAATCGATTGATTACCTCTTGTATTATCATGTATTAGGTGATAGACGGTACCAATATATCATATTGATTTTTACTATTACTTTTTGTTTTTAATCATCTAGATAATAGCTTTGCTAATATAATATTATTTATTCTGACGCCTTATTGATCGATATTGGATGTATTTTTTTTCTTTTGTTATTTTTGTTAGATTAATATAAAAATTTATAATAAGCTGTCATTAAATGTGATCAAATAGTAGGTTCATATCGATGAGATATGTATATACTTTTATTGTTTATTTCTTAAGGGAAATATTCTTTTATTTTTTTTTTAAATTGATTATGAATAGAATTTAGAATCTCATGTGAAATTCCTGTATATCTGATAGTCAAAAATTTATAATAAAAGTTACACAATGAGAGTCATTTCTTTTGTGTTTCATATGAAATATGAACGGTATGACCTATTGTCACCATCAGCTTATGAAGAAAAGTTATGTTAGATAATAAATGTACTCATGTCAATCTATTGAAAAATTTATTAAAAGAAAAAATAACCATATTACTATTGCTGAAATTTTGTATAAAGATATAATAATAAGTACAAAGGATAGATCATTGATTATATATTTTATCGTATTTCGTTTATATTTTTTTTATGTTTAGAAAGTAAAAAAGTTTTTGGAAACACAATCTAATAGGAGTAGCGAAGTATAGGAGTAAAAATTTCGACCTCACCGTAGGCCGTGACAGATACTTTAGCAACACTGCCTCCTCATGTTCAAGGCTGTGACAAACATTGCTATATGATCACTGGCCGTATATCAATAACATGTAGTTATAATAAATATATGAACTACTTCCCTATTGTATTGCTGGCGGATTAAGTAAAGGAAATGGTGAAGAAATGTTTTCCAAAATAGATAAAATAAAAGAATCCCCCTTGTGGTTAGGAAGAGAAACTAGATCGTATTTTACATTTTAACCCCGTAGGGATCGTGTAAACAACTCTTTTTTAATCGAAATCGATTGTTTTTATAGGAAAATAATGTCAGCTTGAGTTCAAAGTTTTCTTTTTATTAAATATTTATCAGCTTTTTAATTAAAAAAATACGTTATATACTGTTTGACATTGACTTTAAATTAAGAAACAATATTCATGTAGAATTTTCTTCGTTGAATAATCGCGTAACTTAAATTGAAATACACAATTTAAAAAAATGAATCATCCTCAAGTTTACATAAACCATTTTAATTTTTTTATACTGACAAGTAGAAATTACACACTTGAGGATAATAATTACATAATTGTTGATCAAATGGAATAAAAACAAATACCCTGGATATTACTCATAAGAATGCATTCATAAGTATGATTACTAAGAATGAACTTTTTCTTTTGCATTCTAACATCTGTATACTACAAAAAAGGTCGTAGTACCAAAATATCGTATGTATGTTTCAAACGTGTCTATTATTGCATATCTAATAACACATTTCTACTTAAAAAACAATCAATTGATTATAAAAAAAATTCTACTGATTACAAATTAGTAAATAAAGAATATGATTCCTCAATAGAGAGTTAATACTGAACACAATGCAAAACAATGAATGAAATATGAAGAATACATTTTCCGAGGGAAACCAAATTACATAAAATTTTGATTTGCTTTGTTGTTTTATAGTAATGAATGATGCAAAAGTTCGACATAAATTATATTTTCAGTATAGTATAACAACAACTCGTCGTGGAGACTTGATAGTTTTCTTGTTAGTCTCTGTTACAAAGCTGTGTAAAAATGTTTCGTTTGAAACACTTGTCGAACGCTGAAAAGTGTACTTTATCGATTTGTCTTGTATTCAGCTTTCGAAGTTTTTAGGCATGTTATGTGCAAGCGTAGCCAATGGGAAACGGACTGTTTAGTGATATCAAAATATTCGAGTTACGAAATCACAGATTTCACCGAAAAGAGTTTTATTAAAAACTTGATTTTCTCTCTACAACATCCAATGAAGTTTTTCTCATAATATCCAATTAGAAAAACTGTATTCTGTTTTACGTATATAATGTGCTTTTGTAGAAAGTTCACTAAACTCTATTCTCACATAAAATATATGGTCTCAATAACTTCAATTACGAGAAAGAATTTTATTTTCCGAAGTCACTAATTAGTTGTAAACACTTTTCATTAGCAAAAATCGTTAGAAAAATGTAGATTTCGAACTTAACCGATACCTTGAAAATTTTATTTTTATCTGTTTGAAATTTCCTATTATAGAGCTACAAAACTCGATGAAAGATGAAAAATCAGATCAACTTTCTCAGTCGATCAAGGCTTTTTTCTAAATTCTAGAAGCGTGTATACAGCGAACTTTTCAGTCTTCGAAAAATATTTTGAACGAAATATTTTTTACACAAATTTACAGTAGAGATTAACATGAAAACTGTCAAGTCTCGACGACTCTTTGTTGTCAAACTAAACTAAAAACAAAACTAATTCAAAACATTTCTACCAGTCGGCATCGTAAAAACAAAATAAAATTATCAGCATAAATTTATCATCATAGTATAATTGTTATGATAATTCATGTAAAAATCTTTCAAAGTAACATAAATATCAACTTGACGATGCGTATATTTAAATTGAACTAGTGACGAGTACTATTGAATGAAATATTGATGTAATCATAGATTGATCTGCATATATAAAATAAGATCAACTATGACAATAATCATGATTAAATGTCATAGAGATAAGACAAAAAGATTTGAAATATTATCGAAAAATTTCCGTGATTACTGAAAAATTATTGAAAATTCTTAGAATTGGATGGATCTCGATATTTCTGTCGTTTCCTAGTAATTTCTGGAATTCATATTTAATTTCCTTATTTTTGTTTTCTTATGAATCTAAAATAATGGAAGCTTCCTAGAAATTACCTTCTCATGCTTTAGTAATTTTAGAAATAATCTTTCTAGTTAATCTCAACCCTGCTGAACATTTATGTTAAATCAAGTAATATTGCACATTTGTCTAATATGCAAGCGCATGTACATGCAAGTGACAAATACTCATTTTAAAATCTTTTGTATAATAAATTTCTTTTGATAAACGTAATAAACCATTTTTTAAGAATTACATATTTCCATAATTTCTATGACAGTTTTTTCTATCGAGTATTCATAAACTTAATCATAATTTATTTCAACCAATGATTCAAATATTTGAAAATTGTCATAGAAAAAGATTAATATATATATGAATATTATTTTTGGAATTAAGCTAAACAAATCAGTAACTATCATCATGTTTTTCTTATGTATTCTTAGATCGAATATTTCATATATATATAATTAGCAAACCTTCATAATAAATTTCACTGATTGGCAGAAGCTGCAAAAGGGTCTCAAGATTGGGAAGAGAAAAGTGTATTAAGAAATTATCTCATAAACGTAAAAAAAAATTAAAAAGACTTGGTAGTTTCATTGAGTAATAATGAATAATTTTCAATTATTAGTGAAGGGAGTGAGACTGTACATTCTTTCCGCTCTCGTGGCCTCTGTTTATTAATTCATTTATTAAGATTTTGCTGAAGCGAACCTCTGTTGTTTTTTATGAGAATATTTGAGTTCAAATGTAAAAAAGAATCACAATCGATGTTATTTCTAGGGATGCATTATTTAGAAGTTTTTATAAAACGAACTATATTACTATTTCGTTTTAAAAATCATTTTTAATTATGCGATGTGCGACAGCATATTCTATGAATAGGAAATATATTAATATTTACATACAACGAAATATAACATTTGCATCGATATTTCAATATCAGATGCTTTTCTTCTACATTGTCGATAGTACTCAATTTAACTTTTTGAAATCACTGAGTATTAACAAGAAGTTTTATTTGATTTCAAGATGAAAGTTAATCAAACTCTGATATATTTTGAGTATTTTCATAATAAAGATTTTATGTTAATTTCTATTGAAAAGATAAGTTGTAACAAAAGATTATCTTTCTAACTTTAGATTAATACTTCAATAAAAAAAAAATAATGAAATGTGAACTTACAACTAATATATGATGCTAGTATCGTTTGACACACTTTCGTACCTTGTGTTTTCGTGTGACACTATTAGACCGACTGTATCTGTTTTATTGTTTGAAAGAGCAAAATTCACACAGTAAAATAGATCAACACTTATTAATACAAAAAAAAAGAAAGCTTTTTCATTGAAATATAAGTGTAAAGAATAATATTTCATCTTGAAAGTAAAACAAACGAGTTTTCTAGGGTTGATTATATAGGATAAATCAGTTATGATATCCTAGCTTTACATAAAACATTATTGTCAAATACATTTTCTCCAAATATTACAATATCTTTTTTTAACAAAGTGCAAATATGACATTGCACAGGCTACAATTATCTAAAACTAATTTNGTGGGGTAATTTGGCACAGCCTCTAGTAGGTCCGATTAAAACGACTGTGGAAAACTTACGAAACAAGATCTCCAAAAACGAAATGCACCGTTGAATAGAGAAATGTTTTTTCTATATTTTTTGTTTCAAAAGTTTTTTTCTATCGTTCAAAATAAAAAAGTTATGAGCAATACGCTAAAAAACTTCAATTTCTTGTGCCATTTTACCCCATCCTACTCTAATGTTGTTTATTCATTTAATGAATGGATCGCTGTACATAATAGTTAATCATTAATTAAAATAGAATACATTTTAGTGTTTCCTAGTTAACTAATTAATACAAAGAATTTTGACGAAATACACTGTTTCAACAAAAAAATCAAAAGTTTTTTTTTTGTTTAAATGCAAAAAGAAATTATTGATTAGTAGAGTTTTGTTTTCAACCTTTTTCTCATGAAACAATAACCTGCATTTTATTTCATTGTTATCATTTCTGTTATTTAGTTATCTTTTGTTTAATTTGTATCAGACATTCGCGAGCCACCTTCGTGCCTTGGTCACGCTTACACACGTCTCACCTCTCTTTTCAGTTTTACTCTGCAAATGCATTTCGCCATAGATAATTTGTTTCTCCATTATTTTTTCAGAACATCCCAAACTATGGGATGACGTAGTACAAGCTGTGCACAAGTTTTCTCAACTTTCCATCAGTATGCGCCAGAGAGTAAGGTTGACTAACGGATCTCTTGACTTGTATATCAATTTATAACTAATAGTTACAATCATTCTGAAAGATGTTTTTATCGTCTTCTTTTCATTCATATATACCAAATATAATATTCGTCATTCACCATCAACATATTATCATTTAAATGAATCAATCGAATAGATTACTGAATTCCGCTGTACTTTTATCTATCGAAGAAATCGAACATGCGTAAGACACATTAAAAAATGAAAGTGACAGTGATAAAGGTGATGATCTCGTATGTTTTACATCTGAAGAGTACAATTAATATTGTATATAAAACTTACAAACTAATATTTTACTTGTTCTTCGTTGTTCTTTTTACTAGTTGGATATGGTGGCCAAAAACATCGTTAGAATTTTTTCCTGAAAATAAATGGTCTGGTTCATTAAATATGCTTTCACGTGTATCACGTCGAATAATAAAAGCGCATCAATATTATAGTCTTCAATTATTAAATGAAAAAAAACGAAAAAATGCAAATAAAATCGATGATAATTACTATTATCAAGAATTTTTCATTCCAACTGCTGCCAATATGTTTAATTTAACAATGCTCATGTATAATGATTCGAACATGGATGTTCATGTTAGTGCACTTAGTGAAGATAATATTCGTGTTTCATTGGCTAAGGGCAAAAAGATATTTCATGCTGTTAAACATGACAGTCAACTATTAATCAATGCTACTCAATATTAGCACTTTTGATATATATATATACATAGGTGTGACATATAAAACTTCTTTGAAAATGATAAATAACTTTTCGGTTACAGAACCCTGAAGAAGGAAGAGCTGTGGAGCACGGGAAGTTAAGAAAAAAATGCTGTCACTTTCGCAGAAGTAATGTATGTTCTTTATTAAAGAATAAAATGCTGATATCTACTGGATAAAAACGTGTTCCAAATTTGGGAACTTTTATATTAATTTGTAAAGGATTTGAGTACATTAATGATGAAAAAGTAGTCATTTGAAACTCTTCCTTCAATAAAACTTCGCGGACCATTCTACGATATGCCAGGTCAATTCTTGCGTGACTCTTTAATACGGAGTATATATTTCTCTGAGCATTTAAAAGTCATACACCTACGACTTTTATAGATCTGGTTGCGTTCTAGATCCGCTCCTACCAGATCATGATTTTGCTAAAGTTATCTTGAGCGATAGGAATTATCTTAACAGCCAAATTTTTTTGACATAGTCAGTACTTAGTGAAATTTCTCTTTAGACAAAATTTCAGTGCTTTAGCTTGATTCATTTTTGAGATAACTATATACACAAAATACTGAAAAATCACAATTTTGGCATGTGAGTGATAGTATTACTCAACTCACCACTAAATCATTCATTTCAACACATTTTTTTATGAGAACTACCTAAGTCTCAGATGTTTTCACAATAAAAATCTTAATTCAAACGACTGCATTCTTGATAACGTATGCATGTGATAAAAAATGGAAATCAGTGGCGAAACAACGTGTTTCTTTTTAGACGATGGCGCTTCCAGGGAAATTTAAATATCTCGACAACTCAAAACTATTTTTTCAAACGGTTTGCGTAGAAATTGATCAAATAGTTGATCTTTTAATATATATCTTAATTAGTCAAATCAACGACTATCGATTGAACAGGATCAGTTGTGCTTTACACCGCATAGATCATTGATAAAATGATAGCGAGGTCAGAACTCCGTTGAATTTTTCCATCCAATGATTAGTCTTATGGTGCTTGTCAAGGTTCTTAACGGAATTTCTAATAATCCGTAACTATCGCCCATTTCAAAATATAGTGCACTCCACTGTTTTTGCAATAACTGAAGAACGATAAGAGTTATAGAGCTGCAATCTTCATCAGTCGATAGAGGAGATACGGAGGCGTCTTTTTCTCTAATATTGTATAAGATAAAATCGTTTTAAAATCAATGATTTCTGGAAACTATTGGAAAAATGCACGAAAAGTGCCTATCATTTCGGTGAAATTTTGGTTGTGATACGTGATGTACATAAAGAGGCTTCAGTTCTATAGTTTAAGGTATAACTCGAATGATTATCTCCGCACATCGTAATGCTAAGCCAATCAAATTTTCAATTTGCTTAGTCAAAAAATATGGGTTTTTATTGATTTTTAAGCAAATTTGTTGATATTCTGTTAAAATTTCATCGGAACAATAGATCATTTTTATACATTTTTTCGATGCTTTGTTAAAGTGATTGATTTTAGAACGACTTCGTCTTATGCAATATTAGAGAAAAAGACGTTCCCATATCTTCTCTATCGACTGATGAATATCACAGCTCTGTAACTCTTACCGTTCTTGAGTTATTGCAAAAGACAGTGGAGCGCACTATATTTTGAAACGGGCAATAGAACATTGCATTTATCCTATTTTGAATTCATTGAGAAAAATTAATTTTCATTGGAAAAGAGTAGTGCATGTTTGTTTGGCGCCATCACGCGATTTTACTGTAGTTTTCGCCCAACTTCAATTATTTTATTATTGAGTTTTTGTATAGGTCAATTGAGATATGTTAGTTGCTTTATGTTCAATAAAAGCTGGAATATTTTTCTAACCTATTCATTCGACGAAAAAGCTGCTTTCATATGCAGAGTTTTTCTTTCTTTCCAAATACAATTTACCACTAACATTGATAACATCGTTTTTCATTCTTATTCTCCCATTTTTTGGTTATTTATATTTCTTATTATGTTCTGTTCATTCAATATTTAAGTTAATCTATTATAAGAAATATTCATCTATTTTTCTTATTCTTGTTATGTCTATTGTCTCCAATTAACGAATTTCTAAATGTCCATTGAAATGGTATCGAAAAAACCAGACGTATACAGTATTTTCATTGGATAAATATTTTTACGAAAACTATTGTTTTTTTTTCTACTTTTATATTACAAAGTTCCTTTGTATGAATATCAGTCGTGATTTTACAATCTTCATAATAATCTTCAAGATATATTGCACTTAGAGAGACAAAGAATTCTAAAGTATACATGCCCGACAAGGTTGAACTTTAGGTAAAATTAAACAGTTTGGAAAACATGGAAAAATATGACAGTGAAAAACTGATCTTATATATTAAATTCTGTTCAAAATAATTTGAAATTTAGTTAAATTTAGGAAGATGTAGAGTTCACCCCCTTTTTCAATAGAAATATACTCTATCAATGCGTGTCTGACCAAATAAAGGAATCATTAAAGTTCGTTCTTTCTAAGCTGTGTAGTATCTTTCATCACTATTTCTTTGTCTTTCAATTCAACGTGGTTTATATATAATATGCGAAGTAGAAGTATATTTTACTGCTAAGTTTCTTTGAGTTATTTTCGGACCTCAAAAAAATGAAGGATTTTTCAGCTCATATATTGCCTATGGTAAAGTAATAGCTACTGTATCTTATAATTTAAAATTGCTAAAGTCTAAAGGATTATTTTGTTTTTGCTTATAAAAATGCTTTGAAAATCAATTTCCGAAGTCAACGCAGGAGAAGTTATTGGTGGTTACATTACAGTCTAGAACGAAAAATACAAAATCCATATGTACTCGAAAACGACTGTTTTCTCTCCGTATCTCATCGTAAATGATCACAATCTGATGTCTCAGTGTTACGGCAGCATTTCTCCGTATCGTATTTGGAGAAATATGACCATTTAAGAATAGAAGTCCTATATAATCTCCGTATATGAACTTCGTAAATGATCGTATGTCTTCGTATCACACACCAAAAAATACGATTGTAATATTGATCTATATATTACGATAGTATATAACGATTTACAGTCGTTGATGAGCGTGATTGTTCAACCGAAAAGCAAGATTAATTGAAGATGAATCTTCTTTCTAATTATTAAAGGGAGATATGTGCCATGTTTTCTCAAAGTAAACGAAAATGAAAATCTATTTTTTAAATCAAAGAAAATTATTTAATAGTTTTGCGCCTCATCAAAAACAAATTTTGCCTAAATTCAATTTTGATGAAAATTTTATTCTTCCTGTGACATGTGTGCGCATTTTTATTTATTTACTTATATAAATATAAAAAGTTATAAAGGACGATATTCACCAATTACTGCTTTACATTGAGGACAATAGTGTTGATAGTTTTTTATATTAGGAATACAAAATGGTATAAGACAGCAGCCACATATACAACCAACGAAGATTAAAACACCACATGAAAGCCAAACCAATAATCCATCTCTGTGCCTAACACTGGTTCTAATAAATGAATGACAGTTAGGACAAGTACATTGTACTGGTTCTTGACCTATTGGAGTCGGTGGAAAGAATTGTATTTCATGATTATTCGGCATTGTTACATTTACTGCTGTATGTGAGACATTTTCAATTTCTTGTGATGATGGCGTTGTATATATTGCTGCTCGACTATTAGAAGCAGGGTATGTAAGTTTTTCTACTACTTCCGCTATAGAAAAAGTGATGAGTCTTATGTCTTGATTTATAGATTGAAACTTACCATATGATGGTGGCTGTTCTTGCGAATAGGTATTCATATTTGTGTAAGAATAAAATCTGAAAAAGTGATTAAAGTGACATTCAATGTTCATGTCCGATAAATTCTATTGGACTATTAACATGAGAAAGAATGACGTTAATAACGAAAAGTAAAATACATTTTCAAGGTTTTTACATGTGCAGCAAACGAGAAGAACATATTTTTGCGACAAAAAAAGCCTGAATTGAGACAAACAATTTTTTTACTCTTGCTTAATGTAACAAAAAAAACACACAGAACAGCAAGTTGCCAACAAGTAGCATACATTATTCTAATGCAAAATAAAACTGCAACAAAGAAGTGAGACAAATTAAATAAAAAAGTAACAGATTGTGCAAAAAAAATACAATTACAAGACAAGTTATACAAAGAAACACCATCAGTTGAGATCAATATGTTAAAAATATTATTGATACTCATGTAAATGACATGACTTTTTCAACATGAATACATTAATAAAAGTCATAAACTGCTTAAGAGAACTGTCTTCAGTCTCCGAATGTTAGAATTAAAATCTTTTAAATATTTGTTTTTTTTATCACTAATATAGCTTTAAAGTGCCTTCGATCAACTGTTATACTAATGGAATCTCTTCATTGTTAGTTAGTACTTTTATTTAGCCTAACTCTTGAAATCCCTAGCAGAAAAACCTGCTCTGCGATTATTCTTTGCATGAAAAATTCTCCTAATGATAACGATTATTTCTCATTCCAAAAGTGCGGAGAGCATGGGCCATGAACTCGTCACATTACTGAATACTACTAGCGTTCGATCACTTTAGTTTGAAAAAATTCTTATATTTACAGGAAAGTTTGTTTTGCGTTTTTCTTAAAGCTAATTGTTGAACAGAAAGACACAGTTTACCCTCTTTTCTCCCACACGGTATGTCCGATCGAGATCAAGTTTTTATTAGTATTTTGGTCAAATTTGGGTGCGAGTTTTCTTGTTCTTTCAAATGTTGTTCCTACGAAATTTGCCAGCCTTGAAAACTTTCATATCATTGAAAAAAACTAGTTTTTTGACACAGCTTGCAATATTTTGCTTATGCTAAGCTCTACGAACGATATTTTTAACAGAAAAAATATGCACTCCGATTTTATCCTGGTTGTCATTGAAAAAAAATGACGACTTTTGCTTTTACTTATCGAACCCTATCTGCCTCGAAATATTTGTAATTTTTCGTCGAGCAGTTCCAGAGAAATCCCAGAAGCCAAGGAAGAGAGTGGTCGCCCTAAACTATTTTACTTGCTTGTTACTTCTGTTACAAAGCTAGAAGATGTAGTACACTCTCTCTTGTATTCTTTCGATACTATACGCTTCGATATTGGTCGATGATCTGTGTCTTCCTTGATCTAACATATGACTACGACATATGAACACGTGAAAGATTCTACATGATGAACGATCAGCCTAGTTTCAATTATTGATATGATCAAATGAAAGATGATACTCAATTTTTTCAATACATAAGTAAAGCTCTACAAGAAACAATCGTCCGATTTATCTATACGTGAAACGAAAAAGACGAAAGCGACTCATCATGCATGTTCTTAATCCTTTTTGTTCCTCGTTCATAGCAACTGTGTTTACAGTGGATATCGAAAATATATTGTTTTCTTACACTTTACTTATTATCGTAATGTGTATCTTTACGTTTTTTTTATTGTCAACAGAGAATACAAAAGCCAAGTTTTCATAATAAAAAAAAACAACAAAAAATAATCGTGTTTGCAGTTTTTCTTCAATGGGATATATACATTTGAATCGTAGCAAATTAATGAGCAGTAAATACACGTACTAATTTTATTATCTGACGCATTTACAAGAAAACAAACATCAGAGATGTGGTTGATTCGTAACCTTTTGGAACCGAACAGAACCGGCACTATCGAGTTTTTTCAAAAAGTATCAACCGAGTCAATTTCGATTTGGTTCACATTCAAACTGAACCAATTCTATCATTGATAAACATCAGTTGCTGTAACAAACATAAATTATAAATTATATGCAGATGATAATATTACTACCATCTATACATAAACTTTAATTTAATTCTACATACAGCTTTCAAGGATCTGGAACGAGAATATTTATTCCGTCAGCAAATTGCACATTGTAGACTGTTTTTTCTGAGCACTGTGTACAATAGCGGATATTACAGAGGCAGCACATGTTTTGTATTTTTATTTCTACTTGGTACACCAGCTGTTGGAAACACTGCACAGAAACAACTAACAAATCATCTAAAGCAATTAATTTATAATTAAGACAAATGACTACGCGAAGTACAGCAGCCGACTTATTACTTTTCAATCACTTAGTTCTCATGGCCAATTCTTCTTGAACTTGACGCATGAGTGACGACTGAAGTCAGTTACTCGTTCTCAGTACCTAAGCATAACTTCGAATTTGAGAAAACCTTCCTGAGATTATCAGAATATGATGAGTGTACATTTGACATCTGTTTTGTGAATTTCGACATCATTCGAGAGATATAAATCTTCGGAAAATGATAATTAACAGCTGATAGTTAGTTTATATGAAGATGCATGATTTTGTTTACCACCCATCTAACAACAATATCATTCTATACGTAAGGCAACAGAATCCAGCGATCACCTCAAATCACCATCATATAATCAAACGTCCTTAACACCATGACAGCCTCTTAATGAAAATGACCCTTCGAAAAAATTAATCTCAGCAACAAACTAAAAAACATATCCATATAAACTAACATCATCAACTTTTCCATCCACGTTCACATCATCGTCATCCTTAGAACATCAATTCAGGTTCTCTAGTTCACCTCACATGAGTATTATCGAGTAATCTACTGTGTTTGTATATTAAATTTAATGGTGACATTGCTCAACTACAAATGTCATCAAAACTCATTCCTGTAAATCGGTGGTTTTTCCTTCGTTATACTCCTTTAGTCATCTCATTAGTATTGCCTAAAGCTATCACTCATAATGAATTATAATCAATTTTGTCGTATTGACGCATAGAAATATAAATAACCCCCAATATATGATTGACAACTAGTTTTCTCTTCGATCGTTAAAATAAAAACTGTTATACTGTCTTGCATTATGACATTTTTTTTTTGAAGAAAATAGTAAATACAGCAAAAAAAAGTGATCTATTTCTAGAAAAAGTATTGAATTCAAGAGAAACCAGTATGGCACGAGCATCTTCTCTACGCTTAGATACTTTTGAGTATTCTGCTCATATCTTCACAATTAACAGGTGCCCTAAAATTTATGAAGGAACATTTCCAATTGTTGGATGCAGTTCGACTTAATATAATGGCTACGAGTAGGTCTCTGTGAGACAACGAAAAGTCTGCAAAGATTCATGCTCATAACGTACTGACAAAGACCTATAGCAATTTTACTGGATTTTCGTTAGTAAGAGCCACGCATTTTCGAAAAGATCAAAATGAAGAATATTACACTGGAATGCTGCCTATAGATGTAGATGTAGCTAATATTCATCAAAAAATTGTGAAATTTTTAAAGAGAACAAATGTATTGATCTCGACATAATCTAATTTCAAAGAAACTTAAAATTGCATCCTTATGTGGTAGACAGCTGTTTTTTAGTAATTGAATATTGCAAGAAAAGTGCGTTCATTCTCTTTGAAACTTTCAAAACGTTAAATGATTATTAACTCTATCTATAGGTAACATTTTAGCATAAAATTCTTCATTTCGATATTTTTGGAAATGCATACCTTGCTCTCACTAAAACTCAACTAAAACAGTCACAACTTTTTATCAGTAGGCTATGAACTTGAATCCTTGTATATAGACTTTTCGTAGTCTCGCAGAAATCAGCTCGTAACCCTAATATCAAATCAAACAGTGTGCGATGGTTGCAGATGCTTCTTGTCTAAACTTTCTCAAGTGATGATATCACTTATTATGACATTAAAAGTCACTATTGTACAAAAGTATTCGTTTTCTTCTTGATCTATAAATGAATTTGATGATGCTTTTATTCTTATAATATATAATCAACAAAATCTCAACAATTAATACTTAATTCATTAAGCATTCAGATAGCTTGTAGAAATACAACAATTGGGCTGATTAACAAAATATCTATTGAATATACAATCAAACATTGAAATAAAATTTTTTTTCCTATTTCTTTTTTATACACACTCACTGTTCGAAACAGTTTTATTTATCGAAGAAATAAAAAACAAAGAAACGAAAATACATATATAATTATACAATAGCTTCAGGTAAAGATGATGGTATAAGTACATTAGTTTTTTTTATTGATGAACATTTTAATATTCCATTTTTTTTCGTTATATTTATTGGATGCAATACATCAATAGGTGGTGTACTATTAATACTACTATTTGTTGTTGTACACAATAATGATGATAATGGTGATGAATGATGTTCGTGTTCAATTGAATTTGTATTAACAATTAATTGTTGTGTTGAATCAATTGTTATTGTACCATTACTATTAGTACTTGATGGTGATGAACCACCATGTCGTTGTTGATGTTTATGTTGTTCAGATTGATTAACAAGATTTAATTGTTTATGATTATTAAGACAATTATATTCACGTTTTCTACAACCGTGTCCACGTTTTGATAAAATAATACATATACAAAAATTAATTATTAATAATATAAAAGCACTTAAAGAAACAATAAATATATATTTTTGATTATTATTATTATTATTTGAATCGAATAATGGTGAAAATTGTCTTGTTAATAGTGATGAATGAATATTTGTTGATTGAGATGTCGATAGATTATTTTTATGAGATACTTCATATAGAGTTTTCCAAGTACTTAATAAATTAATATCAAATGAATTTTCACTATGATTTGAAATTATATTATTAAAAAGATAATGAACTTGAGCATGATAACCACGACTTTGACTTAAATTACCATCTAAAGAAATTTATATAAAGAATGATGATCAAAATAGGATCGATTGATATAATGTATTTAAG